TTTCACCTCAGAAGGTGGTGCCTGTATGTCAAGATAATGAATTTTATTTATTGTTTCAGGGTGAGGTTGGAGAGCATGGGCAGAAGGGCGCCAAAGGAGGCAAAGGAGAGCATGTGAGTGACTTAAATCAGAGATTAATATTTACCTCTGATGGTGACGATCAGGATCTAATAATGCTGTTTCTTCCTTAATGATTGTTGTTTCTCTGTGTTCATGTGCTCGTTTCTGGTTATTTGCAGGGTCCTCCTGGTCCACCCGGGCCGCTCGGTCCTGTAGGTCAGCCTGGTCCAGCTGTGAGTAGAAACTCTTTTTTTTTTATTACAAGTGCATACATTTGATGATAGCTGCAGTTTTTACTGATTTAATAAAGGTCTTCTTATATGATGAATATACAGGATTATTCCAGATTTTAGTTTAGACACATCCAGTCAGGAGAACAGCACATTAACTGTTCTGATCTCCTGTTTTTGTCCTTCTTCTTCTTCTGTGGTGCAGGGTGCTGATGGAGACCTTGGACCGAGGGGGCAGCAGGGTCCTTTCGGAGCTAAAGGTGACGAGGGAACCCGAGGCTTCCCAGGAGCCCCAGGTCCCATCGGACTCCAGGTAAAAACATGAAGATGTCAAAAAGCAGCAACACTTCCTTTCTTTACGTTGGATTTGATGTAAATACTCGTGCAGTTCGAGCATCGCTCTTGTGCAAAGCTCCTAATCCAGAACTTTGACCTTTGCTCTGCAGGGACTGCCAGGACCATCTGGGGAGAAAGGAGAGACGGGAGATGTTGGACCTATGGTGAGTTTCACAAACACATGAATATTGTAATAACTGGTAATGACAGTAATGGCAACAAAATAAATGAAATGATGATAAAAACCAAATGTTTATGTTTCCAGGGTCCTCCAGGCCCTCCAGGACCCCGTGGCCCTGCTGGACCCAGCGGAGCTGACGTGAGTGTTTAGAGCTTTTACTGAACCTCTGTGAAACCTTTTCCATCAAGTTAATTTTAGCAGATTAAATTCTCATGAAACTCATGTTCAGCATTAATTAAAGTAGATTATCTGATACTTTTTCCTCCGAGTAACTCTTGATGGAAATTATTTGATCAGTTTTTGTCTGTTTTTAGGGTCCTCAAGGTCCTCCTGGTGGTATTGGTAATCCTGGGGCTGTTGGAGAGAAGGTGCAGTACTGAAGGAATATTTTTGCAGCTTTATGTCCAAAAGCAGAAAAACTGGATTAAAATATGTGATATTTGTTCCACAGGGAGAGCCCGGTGAGGCTGGACCACCTGGAATCGTAGGAGAGCCTGGAAAGAAGGTGAGCGACGTGATCTTAATGCTTTTTTGAGCCGATGCATCAGAGGTCATGCTGTCGCTGATATCTAAATATCATCCATGAGTAAACAAAGAGGTCTGTACTTCTGTGGACAGGGTCCTCGTGGAGAGCGCGGAGAGAAGGGAGAGGCGGGCCAACCTGGAACTGCTGGACCTGCCGGAGGACGAGGAGGACCAGGAGACGACGGGCCCAAAGGAAACCCAGTATGAGAACCGGACACACCAGAACATACACAGACTCAGTGACCGCAGATCTCTTTACTGTGTTTAATCATTGATCTTTTTTTATTAATTTCAGGGTCCTGTTGGTTTCCCTGGTGATCCCGGCCCCCCTGGTGAGGTTGGACCCAGAGTAAGTGTCGTTTTTGAATGATTAATGTTTATTTATTTGCAGAGATGTTAAATGTGGCTCCACAGCTGCCGACAGTTCAGTTCAGCCTCTTCGCTGCACGTTTGAGCTTCGTGCTGAACCGAACAACCCGAAGAAAACCTCTGACAACATCGTCTTTGTTTTTAGGGCCAGGATGGTGCCAAGGGAGAGAGAGGAGAGGACGGAGAAGCAGGAGAAGCTGTGAGTAAAAAAGATGCAGCGATGCAGAAATGAAGGGTTAGAAATGATCCAGCTCCTCACCCAGATGGAAAAGAAATAGTAAAAACTTATAAAATACTCATTAAAGTGGCCACTTTCTCATTACTTTCATATATTGTTTTAGTAAATATACAAAACAGACAAGTTTCATTTATATAATTTTTCAAGGGATCTTATCTGTTTTCACTCTTGTATGCTTTTCATACAAGTTTCACACAAGACAGATACAAACTTGATAAGATTTATATATCTTATGGGCAAACTTCTCATTCTGCCTCCTATCACAGGGCACCCCCGGACCTCCTGGTGAGAACGGACCTCCTGGACCCCCAGGAAAGAGGGTAAGATCACTCAGTCTGATGGCAACCTGCTGCTGTGAAAGATCACTTAAGTAGCAAGTTTTTCATGCAGCCAATATTTTTTTAAGGCTTCCAGCTTTTGACCTTTTATTTACCTGAGCATATAAGGAGACGCAGCCTCGTTGTGTTTACTGACCAGTCGTGTTTAGAGTATTCATCACCCAAACACCCAACCTGAGCGCAGCATCCTGGACACCATCAAACATTTATTCAGTTTCTTTCCTGCAGTCGTATTTAAATGGCCTCTATTTAAAATACAATTCATTCATACGATTTAGTGAAAGCTTATTAACTTTGAAGGAATACAGTATTTTATCACTTATGTTCACTGATGCACTGTTACCTCATTTACATGTCAGGGTCCTGCTGGTACAAGAGGAGC